TCAATGGAATGTAAATGGAATGTTCACACACTCGCATATATAATAGATACGATTATTAGAATTAAGATTGATTAAATGCTCTCTTCTGAAAATGAACAAAAGTAAAACAAAGTTAATTGGGATCAAACTTTTTACAAATTATATTTGTTTCCGATAAAAATCTTTCGTCGACCAAGTTGGACTTTGAAAGTCGATTATCGACATTTTGATTTTAAATTCTAGTAAATAAAGGACCTCACACTAATTATATGGAAAATTGGGTCACCGTGAAATGAGTTCGTTTTTACATAGCTTATAATGTAATAGACGCAAAGCTTAATAATGAATAATTTTTTAGCCTGATATAAAAAATCAAAAGTACTCTGTGAACACAAGTATTTTGATATACTATAGTTCGAAAATTATCTATTATTAAGCCTCTATTATATCCTTTATTTATCATATTATATAATAAAACTACGTATATATTAAACTACGACTACAAAAGCGAACTCATTACATCGGAACTCAATCTTCCATATAATTAGTACAGGGTCCTTTAAATCTGAAGAAAATAAATTCGAATTTTATAATAATAAAAACTTGTTATTAAACTTGTTGTTACTTAAAATTATTTTACAAGTAGGTATGCAAGAATTTTTTTCGGATTGTTGTATAGTCTGAAACAATATAGAAATCTGTTCAAATTTTGAAGTACAAAAGTATTCAGATTGCTAATAAAAGGTATGAAATTCTATATGGCAGAGGATAAAAGAGATTTATGAAATTTTTGACAATAGAAAATTTCTACTTTTTCTTGCTGATATGCGGTAGGTAGTTTTGAAAGCGACATTTATACTTATTCACTCGAGGTTAACTGCTACGCCAATGTCATTGCTGGTATAGTATACCAGTTCGACTCTTGGAACTTTTCTACAAACAGGTACAAGGTATCGTAGGAATCCCGTTGAACAGCAAAAGTAATGTGTTACGATCAATTCGAGACATCCGACTTCGATGTATTCAGTGAAGTTTTACGATCTGCCGACAGATTTCTGCAACAGTTCCGTTCTATTCCGCAGGAATTTTCGAATCGATCAATTGCTGCTGATACATAATGAACGTATGTAAATAATATTTTATTTGATTCAATATCCAACTGTGGTCATTTGATTCTCTTCGAGCATTATCTTATCTACTATTATATGTATATGTATATAGATATAGTCGCAACATTCTGAATTTAGGCGTAATTTCCTGTTGTGTCAAATTTAATTTATCTCTATGCTTTATATATGTCTTCTGTTCTACATTACTTTCTCGCAATTAATGTATTACGTTGAACAAAACAAACAAATATACATCAGAATTCACATGTGACCAATTTTAAAATTGAAAACAATCAATTTCGATAACAAATCTTCGTAGTTCTAAGTAAAGAAATTCAGTAAATTAAAAATAACATAATGGTTATAATTTTGCACTCAACAATGTAACTGTTATGTAACATATGTTACATTGTTGAGTATGAAATTATAACACTATTACTTTTAATTGGTTTACTAGGAATATATTAAAATATTAAAAATTGATTAAAAAACTAAATTATATCAAATCATATCGAATTGCTATCGTAAGTTTCTCTTAAATAAGTTACACAGAAAAGGATCTTTCATTACTTATATAAAAAATTCAGTCCTGGTGAAATGGAGTTAGTTTTCACTATTTATATTTTATTTGTGAATTTTATATTTTATATTTTATTTGTGTGTTTATAATATAATGAAGAGATAATATAAGAAAAGATGTAGACACAAAGCTCAATAATTTTAAGCTAAATTATTATTATATTATATTAATTTTAAGTTGGTATAAAATTTGTGTTCATAAAGCATCTTTGATGTATTATTAATTCAAAGAGTATCTATTATTGAGCCTTGTGTCCATGATATTTTTTGTTCACTACATTATATATAAGCATTATGTATGAAAACTAATATTTCACCGGAATCCAATTTTCTATTTAATTAGTGCGGTCAAAAATAACGGAATGAAAAGGATATATACATTTATATATACGTTCGTGTTCGACTTACTACTTTTCAGGAAAGTTTATGCACCTCGCGGTAATTACCAACATCTTGATCACAGTCTGCGATCGTGCATACGATGCACTTGCGAAGCGTCGTTCATCATATGCACGTAGTACCCTTATACGCACGCCACATCCGGTCGCGGGGAGTCGCAACCAACTGTAGTCCCGTAACTACGCATCGTGTCGCGTACGCATTGTGTAGTAAAAGCGTAGTACACGTAAACGAGGCGAAACTCCACGGAGGTTTCGTGCACCAAGGACATTTTATCTCCTACATGGTACATCTACTCCCACTGACCCCCTCACCGTCTGTTCTACCTTCGTTCTCGCTTCTCTCACAGTCGATCACTTTCAAATTGTTCGCCGGAAGCGACCCTCGCTTTTCCACGTACTCACATACGCCTAAAGAATCTCTAAAATCAGTTAATAACGTAAAAATAGGAGTTTAAGGAATTTTAATAAGACTATAATTTAGGCTCGATACGTGTAAAAAATGACGTATAAGTTGTTCTTCCAGTTCAGATTCATTAAATATTTTGAATTTTATCGTTCTTGATAATAATATTAATGTATATTTATAATCAATTACAAAAAAAAATTTATGATATCATAAATATTAACTTTATTTGATGCAAGTTTTAATTTAATTTAATTTAATTTAAATTTCATTATACCAAAATTACGGGATATATGTTAAGAACTAAGTCATGAAAAAAGCGTAAAACTCAGTTTACTTAAAAAAAAAAAATAAACTTCAAATTTATTAAAAGTAGATACATATAAATAAACATTATATTTTTTTATCTTTGTTACTCTCTTTCCTTTTTTCTCTTTTCCTCCATCTTTATTATTTAAAATCTGATAAAAATGCCTAAACAATTCGCTTCGAAGCTTCTCTATGTTAATGATTCGAAGAGAAAGGAATTTCACTTATTAGGCGAATTTTTCTTTCGAAAGAAAATAAAAGCCAAAGTACAATAAATTTGAGTGTCAAATGAATACATTTCTTGAGTTCAGTTTTTAACACCAATAATTCATTGTTTTAAAGTTAAATTAACAATATATTGAATGTAGAAACAGTGGCGATCTATACACTGAAAAAAGTTTTGTTATATTAAATCGGACTTTTGATAGATTCAACTAAAAAAGGTATAAATCAGACATTTATAGTTAAATCTATCAGATATTCTAGTAGAGATAAAAACAGAAATCCAATAATCACAATAATCAAAATTTTTATTCATATGATCATAATTTCTATTGCTTGTACTTCTTGTTACAACTGGAATATTTTTCTCAGTAACAGAAACGACTAAAAATGGTTTAAAGTAGATATAGTTTAACATTACAAATTTAATAATGTATACCTATTTTACTTTAAATACTACAAAAAGTGTATACCAATTTAGCTATAAAAACAAATCTAATAAGTCACACTGTCGCCCTAATCTAAAAAATATACTTAGATATCGTCACATCATGTGGTTTCCTCGATTTTAGGAAAAACATTTTATTATAAACTTTCTATAAAGATTTTTAGATAGATTTTGTCCTTGATAATTCGGATTCTCATAATAGAACGACAACAACGAGAAGCAAGTTCGCCGAGAGCCGAGCTCAAAGAGAGGCTCGTCGGCGAAGAGCAAAACGTGGAGCTCCGATGTCTCGGATGAACGAACGAAAGCGAATGGGACCGAAGTCGGCCGAACTGCTTCGTTCGTTCAGTGTTGGGTCGTGTACAAACGGGGCCCAAGGCCGATAGAACCGAGCGAGTGTTCAAAAATACAATATTTAACTTTCTCACGAAGAAAACGCGTAACTTTGTGAATATTTCTATGCCGGAGCTAATGTTGCCCGATTCGCGCGAATTAATTAAAAATCGATTGTGAAAATTCTAACATGTCTAGACTTTCAGGAGATATAAACAGTTCCACAATCTCCTAAAATAGCTGTACGTGAAGCACTTGATATTAGTATTTTTTAAAAGCTTGAAAAACAGTTAAGATGTTTTTACAAAGAGGAACTGTTAAGAAAAATTTCTTTGCTTGTTCGATTTTTTATGAAAAAGTATCAAAAGTATTACAGCTGTGTAATTAAAAACTCTATAAAAGATATGAGTTCTATTCTATGATTTGGATTACCGAGTACTATTGGTTTGCCACCGTTAGCAACAGGTTGCTGTATTCTAAGAACACGTGGAGCATTCTGGCAAACCTGTCTTTTTACGACACTTTTTCTCCTTCAACTAAAAAATTTTTACTGTTTCTATTACTTCAGATTTGCTCTGCTATATTTTCACTTTCACATATCCTTTTTTTCTTTCGTATTTTCTTCTCTAAGTTTCATACAGTTTTTATTGTATAACTTTAATACTATTTTATTTTATTCGATTACATTTTAATAATATTTTATTTTATTCGAAACCAAACAATTAATATACAAAACAAATATTAAAATAAACTACTATTGTATACTGTTATTATTACAATCTCTAATAAAACAATACATGTAATGTATTTATGAATGAAATGGAAAGTTCCTAGTAGGCCATTATTACGTATATTTGAACGCCACGTATAAACGGATACAATTTCGGCATATATAGTCGAAGCTTAGGTGTCGAACATGAGGGGCTACTTTACACGATGCAGACCTCCAACCCTCCCCGCTATACCGCTCTTTCTCGACTAAACCGGCGCCACCGGCCACGGCCGTCGGCCGCACCGTCGCGGCGGCGATCTAAATGTGGTGGGGAATGGTTACCAGTTACGTTCCATGTGACACGCTGGCGCCGCGCTGGTGGGGGGGCTGCCAATACGGGTCACGTGATCAGTGGCGCCGCGTGAGTGGGGAGAAATCGTCGGCTACGGCCCTACAGGGCAGCTGTGCAACTAGACTCGCCGGCATTCTGACCTGATAAGTCACCAGTGTCGGATCGTGAGAAAGTGGAGAGGGATTCTCGCGCTCCTTGTATCTCGCAGGACATTTAAATCGTACACGGACCGGCGACTTGGGTTCGGCGGCACTTCCAAAGAGGGAAACCGTTTGTTCCTCGCGCGTCGATCTGTAAAAAGAACAGAACAAAAAACAAGAACATCACCGTTTCTCTCCTGCGCCGATCGAAGCGCCTTGCCCACCTCTCTCTCTCTCTCTCTCTCTCTCTCTCTCCCCCCCCCTTCTTTTCTCATGATTCCCTCGGGAAACGAAACGTACTAGTCGCCCCGCGAACTTCGACAAACGCGAATCGCGCGACAAAATTACTTTTAAGTGGCACCGATCGGAAAAAAAAAACACGTACTACGCTTATTTATTAAGGAACCTTCGAGCGCGCGTGCGTCTTCGCAAACGTATTATTTATTACGCTTTTTGTGCTTTGATTCGCGGAATAACACGTGTGGAAAGCAAATATCGAAGAGGAGAAAAGAAGAATATCCACGATTCTTCAACGATCAAGAAAGAAAGAGAAAGAGAAAGTATCTCTCCGGAAAGGTGAAGAAAATGTCTAAATACGTGAGAAACGAACGTGAATAATCGAACGAACGAACGAACACGCCTCTTTCTCTCTTTCGCTCGCTCGCTCACATAATCGTCGTAGTTGCGACTTTGGCCCGTGCACACAAACACGCTCGCGCATACAATCCACGCGTGTTGTGCGCAGTCGTCATCGACGTTTCGCGACTCGTCGCGAGGTGAGTGATCAGCCCGTCTCTGCCTCGTTTCGCTGTGAAAAAGGTGTTGAGTGTCCCCCTTCTGTTTCTCTTTCTCTCTCTCTCTCTCTCTCTCTCTCTTTTCCTCTCTCGTTCTCTCATCCGGGAATCCGTCAGTCTCTGAGATTCTTGGAGGGAGCACGTGGACGGAACACATCCGATACGTGTCCCGAGGAAACCCTACAGCAGTATAGTGGGAAGAAGTCGGAGAGAGAAGCAGAGAGAAGCTATACAATACAATTAGTGCGATCTCTCTCGCCCGTCATGGATCTTCTGTGTTGCGAGACTACAGAGACCGAGTGCCGGGCGTATGCTGATCCTGCTCTCCTGGGCGACGACCGGGTCTTGCAGAATCTCCTACAGACCGAGGAACGCTACGCGCCGAGCCGGTCATACTTCGAATGCGTGCAGAGGGACATCTCACCGCTCATGCGCAAGATAGTCGCCGAGTGGATGTTGGAGGTAAGCGAACAAGAATCCCTCTCTCTCTCTCTTTCTCGTCCTCACGTCGCGTGAGTGCCCGTCGAGATCGACCGCCTCGCCGGTTCCGCGGAACGTGGACAGCCGGCTCGAGGAAACGGCCCGGTATTCTGGTTCTACACTGAGAAAAAAATTAGTCAATTTTAATAAATATTTAGTTCAATACTGCCAACTAAATATTTACTTACAGTAAATATTTGTTTAGCCAAAAAAATGATTGTTAAATCAAATTAACATTTCTTGTATCAAATAAATATATCTTTGTATTTAATAAATATTTAGTTGGCAAATATATATTCAACTAAATTTTTATTAAAATTGACAATATTTTTTTTCAGTGTATAAAGCCCGAGATACAATCGAAAAGCACAGAAACGAGGAATAGATTTCTCACTTCTCGATTATGCTCGATTAGGTTTATGATCAGGTTTATTAATTAATCGTAGTAGTGTTGTCGTTATATTGTCAATTTAAGATATGTTTAACTCTTGCTTTATCAATATATATTTAATCTTCATGTAAAAAATAGTTTATTTACTGTTATTATTATAAAAATGTTTATCATATGAAACAAACGAACATGATTATGAATTTATTTTGACGCATGTAATATTTCACTATTGATAATTTGTGGTTCTGATATTATGCGTAATGTACAAATAGATTTTTATAGAAGTAAGAACAATTTCTTGATAAAAATATCATTGTATATTTGTATGATAATCTTAAAATTACTGATGTCTTTACCTACTTGTCATCATCATACTTTACCTTACTTGATATCATATCTGAATGCGTGAAATGTCAACTCCGTGATCAGTGAATCGTTAATTTAAAATTATTAAGTGTATTATATTTTCGACATTTTTATGTTAAGATTTTTGACTCAAAATTTATCTCAGGAACACGTTCTTTTAAAAAAGCTGTAAAACGATATTGAATTATTGTTAAGAATTACAGAATTGGAATACTAAGGATTGATTATGTATAATCTTTAAACGAGATTTAAATCTAAAACCTAATTTATAATGTTTTCTTTCTTGCTTTTTACTTCATAGTTTTTTTCTTTCTTTACGATCGTTTTATTCACAATCGCATTTCTTTTCACCTGTTTCTTATTTCGAGCGACAGAAAACGAAAAAAACTGAATAAGAGACAGAAAGGCAAGAAGCAAGAAGTGGTAAAAAGCAAGAAACAGGAAACAAAGAGCACATTGCAGATTAGGCTTGAGACAATTGAAAAACACAGGGAAGAGGAACGAAGAACAACAGATTTCAATTTTCAGAATACAATACCTAAGTAGAATACAGAAAGATACCATATGTTCCACTTTCGGATAAGCTATGTGATAATTTATGAATTTATCTAATGAAAGAAAAAGTAAACGAGATAAAGGACGAAAGCACAAGCGAGAGAGAGCAAGCAGCTGAAATTTATCGAAAGATGGACAATTCGGCCTATAACTTTATTTGTTACTTATAAGTGAACTTGTAAGTGAGCTTAATTGTGAGCAATTGAAGAAGCTTAAAATAAATCCTTAAAATACAGCAATCTGTTGCTATATATGATGGCAAATTAATAATATTCAGTAATTCAAACAGATAGAATCATCATATTTTTTTAGAACTTTTAATTACAACTGTGTTTCAAAATTTACACTGTTAGTACTGAAAATCTCTAGTTCACATAACTTTGTGAGTGCAAACTCTCTTTCTCTCTCTCTCTCTCTATATATATATATATATATTTTTTTTTTTTTTGCGCTG